AGCATAAGAGACCATGCAAACACACAGACTAGAAATGATAAGCCAGTGTTGGGATAAGCCTTTTTAGGAGAATCCTGTGTCTTAATAAGCTTAGACAAGTTGCAATACTGCATAATCAGATTTTTGCCACGCTTTTTGCCTGCTCTTTCTCAGAGGAATATATCTTTTACACAGAAACTACTTTATTCAAACAATAAAGTCAAAGTATTTCCACCCCTTCAATATGAATTCCCAATCAAACCTCTGTCTTCAGTTTAAGTAAAATAAAAATAAAATCAAAACACAGCATTTAATTGTTTCTCACAGGTAACTAAAGTCCCAGGCATTCCCTTCCAGACCCAGCAGTTGGTGTGACAGAGATAGCCATCCCTAAAGGTCTGATTCTGTTCCCTGCTACAGCTTGGCAGCCTTTGCTGATTTGCTGAAGAACCAATTTGTAAGAGCACTTTTCAATGTGCTCCTGACAAAAAGTCAGCAACACTAGCGTAGGTAACCTAAAAATGTTGCTCTAATTAGCCTGTTTGCAGCAAATCAGGGACTATTCATACAAATTACTCCAGTGGGTGACTGGCAGAGGCAGTGGCTGCCACTGGGGGCATGATTATAATTAGCTATGGGCAAAAACCACCAGTAAGGAGGGAGAAAAATGCAACAATTAACTGTGTTGTAACCAATTCTACTAACAAACTACTGGATCTGGAAGAAGGCTGCTTGTCCTTGTCCTTCTGCAAAGGCTGGACCACTTCCTCCCTCTCAAGCACAGCTACAGTTGGCACTATGTTCATAAAACTCAGCGTCTCTATCATTTACACAACAGTATAAACGCTCAGGGAGAAGTTCATGCAACTCTATATACTCTTCACAGGTAAGTATTCATTATTGTCTACCTCAAAGAAACAGGAGTTAAGGACTACAGGTACACTGGAACAGATGGTGTGTATTCCTTTTTATGTACAATCATACATTCAAAATAATAAACATCACTCACCCCATTGCAAATTCATCTAGGTTTGTTTTGCCTAAAAGCACAGCTCCCTGATCCAGTAATTTCTGAACTACTGTAGCATTGTAAGGAGAAATATAACCTGAAAACAATCAGAACAATTGAGTGATTTATGAGATACAAATTCCTCTTACAAGTAGCTATTCTGAACATTTCAGAATTGTCATTACCCGTGCATAAGAACTGTCAGTTCACAGTGGCAGAGTTTTGCTTCAAGGTAAAATGAATAATTTTCAAAATTTAACAAAAGTAAACCAAACACTGTTTAGTTTGCAACATCATTTCTTTTCCTCCACAAATCACAACCCAGTAATTCTGGATTATACGTGCCTAAAGTGTGAGGTAAGACTTCACATAAACAAAACACCACAAGGGTAGCAAATTACTGCGTTCAGTGAATTTGCAGGAACTGTATAAAATGAGAAGAAATGAGAAACAGCTCTTTACAGGAAAGTGCTAAACTATCTTAAATTATCTCCCATTACCATGAGATAAAGGAGCATATTGTTAACCACAAGGTGAAATATTAACTGGCTATCCTATGTCCCTCCTTTGCCACTTAGACTCCACATAACATAGGATGAGAATCATGACAGGGACATAAGATCTCAGGTAATAATCAACTAATTTTGTGAATACTGACAGGGGTTTCTCTACCCCCACCTTCAACAGGAACAAGGACATCACTCCTAATACTCACTGCAATCAATCACAACAGGTCTGATAATGTGCTTCAATGAAAAGCATCTCAGGTAATGTAACACTTTTTAAAATAGCTAAGTCATGCTTTGTTTCTTCTGCTACTAAAAATCCCATAATCAGATTAGGATTCTGCTGATTTACTTATGTCATCTTCCACAAAACTTTATAGAGTTTTACTTTGTGCAGAATAAAATAGATATAAGAAATATCTTCTACTTTTGCTTTTACATTAAAAAACCCCACTGTAATGCCTTGAAAACGATCATGACATGTTAATCAAACAATGAGTTTAAGAAATTAAAACAAAGCATTATACAGAAGGTTTGTATGTCGGGATTGTTAATGCCTAGTCTTCCTACTGCCATATGAAAAAAATACTTGAGTCAACAATTATCAAAACAACATCAACAACAAAAAAAGGACAGTCTTTGGATTTTGCTAGGCAGAACAGTACTGACTGGTCTCCTCTGGATCTAAAAGTAATGCGAAGCAAAACGCCAATTTTTGAACAATTCTCTTTTAGTATATATGTTATAATAAAAATTGTTATAATTAAAAGCATGTAACTAATAAATAAAGAGATAATGTGCTTAGAAGAAGAAAAAGATGCATCTGTGATACCAGATGAACTTGGCCAGTGAAATTTGCTAAGTGTATTTCCTCAAATGAGTCCAGCTCATTTTTTTGAAAATATTTAGATATCTGGAAGACTCCTCTCCATAAACCCTCTAAAGAGCAAGAGTTCTGAAATGAGATCTGATTTTACTTTAAAAGTTTTACTGTACCTCTCAGCATGTTTGATGCACATGTTGTCTCAATGCCAGCTGTATTAAAGTTGTCTTTTACTGCGATAGGAATTCCATCTAGAACACCCAGGGGCTGACCTGCATTAGGAATGATTGCAAACACAACACAGATTAAAGCAAAGTGCGCTATACATACAGCTTTCTCATCAATTACAGTTTGCATTACATGTCCCTGTGGGTGGTTTTTGGAAGCAAGAATGCTATCCACTTGACCTTTGATGGTTGTCTGTTACGTTTTCAAGAACCATCTTCCATTCCAACTCTGGCATTGAGCATTCATTCTGCCCAGACCAGACCTGGCTCTGCAGATGTGTCTAAGAGCCCTGCAGATGTGCCTACGCCAACAAGACAGGCAGCTGCTTCCATACAGGTTAGCTATCCCAGAGGCGTGCATAGCTCTTCCAATGTGACCACGCAGGGCTTATTTCAGCCATAGGTGCTGCTAAATCCATCATTAGGCTGGGAGCCATAAACTCTGCCTACCTGACATATACAGTAGATATTACCTAAAAAATTACTAAAGCAGAGGAGATTTCCAAAGTGGCTGATTATCAATCATCCAGGAAAAAAAAAAATTAAAAGGCCTATGTCAGAAAGCAAAACTTTCTTAAGCTGCTAGAGGGCACCAAGTGTCACCCAGGAAGGGAAAAAGTACCCCATGACGTGAAAATTTGCCTTTCCTGTCTTTTTTTGAAATGCAAAGCAAAATGAGGATGGTTAGCCTCTAAATGCTGCAGATAACAGGAATATATGAATGAATATTTATAGAATTGCTATGTTATATTAACATAGTAATAACTGCAATTAACAAAGCTTTAATTTGCCTTCTTCATTAAAAACCTGATCGGCTGAGCCAGGTGTTTGCCCCATCAACAGGCCTGTGAAGGGCCACTGCATCTGCCTATTTGTGGTACCTGCTGCTGGCTACACATCCAAAATAAACTGCTGAAGGAAGAAAGAGGCACCCAGTAGCAGTGCTGTCAGAGAGGCACAGAGCCTGTTAAACGTGCAGTGCCTCATTTGGTCCAGGTTTTGCCTCCCGATTCTGAACTAAATACTCTTCTGAGTGCCAAGTGTACACTCATACAAACCTCAACCACAACCCTCATTCCCCAATAGTCAAACAAGCAGCACAGACAGAGAAAAGATGCTTCATCTAACACAAAGAGCTCCTCCGCAGCACCCTTTAAAGGACTGATAGGAGTTACAAACAGACACACCTCTTTTGTATCGTTCCTCTGATGCTTCAGCCTGCTTCAAAGCGGTTTCTTCTGCTACGGTAATATAGGCATTAAGAAACTTGGTGCTTTTGATGAACGACAGGCACTGCTGGTAGAGCTCCGTGGGAGAGACACGTCCTTCCTTCAACGCCACCGACACCTGAAAGCATCACTGAAAATAGTCAGGAGGAAAGGAAACCCTCCAACACCACCTCTGAAGTGTTAGTGAGCCACCCATTTCTTTATTCTGGCCAGAGAGATGTAGTGGATCATCTCAGCCACATATGACCCTTTCAAGACTATTCACCTGTATTTATACACTTTAGCAAAAAAAGAGAAATGAACGTTCATTGGTTCTAAAATACATAATTCTCTTAATTTAATTAGTATTCTATCCTTTACTGGCTAATTTGGTCCATATTCTTCGCTTCTCTTATCATTCTTGCTTAAGACAGAGAGTCGCCAACTTTCAGGTTATAATGCCTTTCTTAATCCTCTCTGTCTCTTCTGGTTACTCCAACATGTCTTTGAAGGACTATAAATTTAAGATCCCAGGTGACTAACCTTCAACTCCCTCAAGCTTTGTTTATTGAAGCTTATCAGAGCTAGTACAGAGAAACTCAAAGCTTCGGTGATTCAAAGATAAAACCGGCAACACTGTGTAAAGGAAAAAAAAGAAAAAAGGAACCTAGCTACTTGCTACCACTAATTAACATTTTAGGAAAGTTACGTAATTTCCAACAAAAGCGCAACCCCCCCCTTTCAAGACAGACAGGTGACAGAGCCAGCGCCGGGGCGCACGGGTGTGAGAAACAGTCTCTAAATATCCCCAATTTCTGAGGATAAAGCGCGATCCCCGCGGAGGGAAGGTGCCCACAGGAAATGCTCCCAAGAGACCCGCCGTGGCTGAATCCCCGCCACTGCGGGGAGCGGGGCCGCGGGGGGATCCCGGTCACCTTGCGAGCCTGTCCCACTCCTCAGCACCCCCTCCCCGCGCCTCGGAACTCCTCCCGCTCCGGGCGGCCTGGCCCCCCTCACCTGGCGGAGAGAGGCGCGCAACATGACTGCCCGTGTCCCGCCGCCTCCTCACGCCCGCCCAGCAGCCGCCGCCACCACCACCACCACCCTGTCCCCGGCGCGCCGGCCGCTTGCCGCCATTTTGCCGCAACACGCAGCGGCGCCATTGGCAGGGCCGCCAAGAAGGCGGCCGCCCATTGGCTGCGGTGCCGCCGGGGCTGAGCGCGGAGGCGAGCGGGAGAGGTGTCTCCCGGTCCCCGTGCCCGTCCCGATCCCGGTCCGCGGTCCCGGTCCCATCCCGGCTGCCCCGGCCATGCTGTCGCGGGGGGCGGTGGGCTGGCGGGCGCTGCGCTGGGCGGGCGGGCGGCCGCGGGCCCGTGGGCTCCGCACCTCTCCGCGGGCTCGGAGCGCCATGCCCAGCTGGGTCATAGACCGGTACGGCAGCAACGAGGTGCTGCGCTTCACCAGGGACATGGTGTTCCCCATCATACACTTCCCGAACGAGGTCATCATTAGGGTTCACGCTGCCAGCCTGAACCCCATCGACCTCAGCATGAGAAGTAAGTGCCGAGCCCGGGCGGCCTTGGCCGGGATGGCCAGGGGCTGTGGCGGGGCTGCGGCTCCCGTGGCCCCCGGAGTGGTACCCGGGCACCGTCCTGCCCCGGCACACACTCGGACAGTGTCCGGGGGCTGCCTCAGCGCACGTGTTGCACTGAGCCCCGTGGGACACCGCCGCCTCTTGGACACTTAACTTTTGTCAGGTTCTCAGGGAAGAACGGTACGAAAAGTTTTTTTTATAAGTTCTTAGGGAAGAACGATACAAAAAGCCGCTGACGGGAGCGTGTGTGTTGCCGGGGTAAGCTTTTAATCGAGGGACCAGCTGCAGTGCCCCCGCAGGCTTGCGCCTCACAAGCCATCATCCTTCTGCCAGTAGCATAAGCATGGTGGGATTTTCTCTCCTGGTCTCCTCCCCTCTCCCCACCGACTGGGTGGTGCTACTCTCCTGGCCAGGAGACTTGCTCGTTCTGGGATCAGCGTTCCCCCTGAGAGGAGCTGGATTTTCCAATCTCTTTGAGGTGAATGAGGCTGAAGGTCAAAGTTGGTGTCAAGTCAGCACCTGCGACCTACTACTCTCCCCCTGTTGCTTATTGCCGTGCCCACCCTGAGTTGGCATCTGAGTACCTGCTGTCATCTCGCCCGGGAAATCTGTATCTTTCCCTGTCCAGCTCGTTGTATTTGAAACATTTAATCGGATTTTTTTTTCCTGCAATTTCAAGGGTCAAAATAGGAGAAGGAAGTTGTGGTAGTGGAATACCTTATATTTCGTGTTGAGAAGTGATCTTACATATCAAATCAAATTCAGTAGAATATGCAAATATATCCACAGGAAGCCTGCTGACAGAGCTGTTTTGGGTCTCTAATAAATGAATTAAAAAAAAAATCTTTGCATATAGTTGGGGCTTTGATTATGGGACATTTACCACCTGAGGATTTCTGTTAAATGACCCACTTGAAGTGCTGGGCTGCAAGTAGTATTTTGAGTCAGTTATAAAAGCATTTGAAAGAAACCATGTTTTCATCCTTCTTTCAAGCTGCCTGATTTTTTGTTTGCTTCTTTTCAGTATTAAAAAGCATTCTGTCATGATAGGGTACCTAGGCAGACTTGTCCACTTACTTGAATGGGCATATGTGCCTGAATGCAGACTTTTTTTAGGCTGAGCAGTTATTAGATGGGTAATTCTGAGCCTTCAAAGCATTTACGTGTTACTTACTGAGTAGAAGTTCAGGTTACTCATCTTGGGAGATGTACCGTAATATTTTTTAAAATTATGTTCATGTTGCTTTTTACAGTACTTTTTTTGGAAAGAGCCATCTCATGGGTAAATAAGCCAGAATGAGGTTTGCTCTTTATTTGTAAAATCTGTGAAAGTACAAAATATTGCCGATTTTTTGCATGCTTGAGTTATAACAGAATTGAGGCCCATTTTGTACAGACAATGCTTTCTAATTGGAACTGTCCAGTTAATAAACAAAAACTCAGTATGGTATGTCATGGTTATTTTCATGTTTTGCAGGTGGTTATGGTGCAACTGCCTTAAACATGAAGCGAGATCCCCTGAAACTCAAAACCGAGGAGACTGAATTTCCGCTAACACTTGGTCGAGATGTCTCTGGTGTTGTTATGGAATGTGGACTGAGTGTGTCTTATTTCAAACCTGGAGATGAGGTGATACTACTAGTCTCTTTTTTTTTTTTCTTAACATGTATAGTTAAAATATGCTCTAAGATGTTCAACTTTCATTTTCCTTTTAATTTTTTTTTAATTTTGTTGCACTCTTAATGAGGCCCATCTGGCAGTAAATTCCTAGAATACTTTCTTCCCTTCATTTTTTGTCTGAAAAAATGTGGTCTTTCAGAGACTTGCTTCTGCAAGTTAATTACCCTTCTGGTTTTTTAGGTTTTGACCCATTCCAGTGGTAGCAAGAGTGGAATTTATTTATTTTTAAGTGCACTCAAAATATTGCTTCCCTTTTGACTGAAGATAGAATTCTAACAGGAAGGAATTAGTTTTTCAGTTTTTTTCATGAGTAATTTAGGATAGGAACTTTGGCTTAACTCAAGAACCACTTCATGGGCCCCGACAAATACTTGATACTATTTGCTTTCACCTTCACCAGTTGCGTTCACATTTCAGCAATTTCAGTATAGCAAATTCTGAATCTGCACCACCCCTACCCCTCTAATCTGGGCTTTCCTGGTATGGGAGTAGTTTGGGGGTTCTGGAAAATTATGTGTTACACATAGTGCAATGGTACAATCACACAGTCATCAGTTTTGGGATGGTTAAGCTAAAACTGGTTTCTGATAAACAATGAAGACATTCTGCAAATCGAAAAAAAGATGTTCTTAAGGAAGGAAGCTTTTCTATGTACATACAATCATGTGCAAAGTTAAAAAAATTGATAGTTGTTTTCTGTTTGGTTTTAGGTGTGGGCAGCAATTCCTCCATGGAAACAGGGCACTCTGTCAGAGTTTGTGGTAGCTAGTGGAAACGAGGTAAACTTTAAAAACTGTGGCTAACAGACTGTAAAGACTGGCATTTTTCTTCTTGAGTGTTTAAGTAACTGTACGTTTCTTAGTGCTTGAATTCATTTGTACTCCATTTACTTATGAAGATGGTTGGAAAAGTGCAATACACAATCCGTAATTCAGTAAAGCTTGCTGAAATATTTCAGTGTCACATCAGATCTGCTGTGTGACTTACATATGCTTTTATTTCAGGTGTCTTTCAAGCCAAAGTGTCTCAGTCACATAGAAGCTGCTGCCCTACCATACGTTGGTCTCACTGCGTGGTCTGCACTTAACCAAGTAGGAGGACTGAACAAAAGTAATTGTAGTGGCAAAAGGCAAGTAAATGATTTTGGTGCTAAAACTAAAGTTGTTCATTTTTATATTGATGAGCTGCTTCTAAGACATGTCCAGCAGTGATGAAGACTGTTACACCATGACATTCACAAAGACTGATGCCTGAAGATGTTAGTTCAATCTACACAGCTGCTGAGAGAGGCTTCTTTAAGAGAGGCTCAGGTGAGGTCCATAACTGAAGAGTGTACCGAGTCACTTGCTTTTCACTTCCTCTGTGTAGTGACTGTATAAAGGTAGAAAATGCCCAGAGAAGTTGAGGATGCCCCATTTCTGGAAGTGTGTAAGGCCAGGTTGGATGGAGCTCTGGGCAACCTGGTCTAGTGAAAGGTGTCCCTGTCCTCGGCAGGGGCTTGGTTTGGAACAAGATGATCTTTGAGGTCCCTTCCAACCTAGGCCATTCTGTGATAATCCAGTGTATATCTAATGTATGGACTATATAGAGAATTTAAGGAAGTTATCTCTAGAAATTTATAGGGACTTTGCCTTTCTGTTTGCCTGTCCTGTTGGGACACTTAGCCAAATGTAATATCCTCTCAGTTATTTGGCAACTCTCAAAAAGCCCTCTCAAGCACAGAGATACAGTTCCCTCACTTCCTGCATATGTGGGCCATTTGGAACAGACTGGTTTTCCAGCATTTTAGAGGAAAATGAGTAGGTGACCGAGTCTTATTTGACCTGCAGGCTAGAACTTTGATGGAGTCAGGAATGCAGACAAGAAGAGGAGAACATGCAAGACAAGCAGCCAATCAAATAGAAAAATTGGCTTTGTTTATCAGCCTGTTTAATCTGACAGTGGCAGATGAGGAAAAATGCATTGAAAGATTTGAGCAAATACCATTTTTCTTCTGATAATTGAACTTTGCAGTTATTTTGACCTTTAGATGTTTGAGTAAATAGATAGCAAGACCTTCAGAATGGAAATAAGGGCAGAAGTAAAAATACTGGAGTTGAAAAAAATAATAATTAAACTTACTATGTTGCACCAAAAATTTAGGTCATAAAGCAATTATTGGGCAGTAGGAGTCTAGATGCCTGACCTCCTCTTATCTTGGCTGATACTTTGTAATGCAACACATTGCAAAGGACACCAGATCTACTGAAATTCTTCACTCATGTCTTTAGAAGATAATCAATTGAGTCGTCATTCATATGTCACAGTAAATTTCATCATGAAAATACCGAGCAATTGTTTGTTCTAGAGATGAAGAATATTTTGAGAAAATTAAATTGCAAAATTTAAAGGAGTTTCAAAGAGACGTCATTGAAATTAACTTCTAGCTAGTACTAAAATTCTAGATGATGTTGCCTTTTTATTTTTCAGTATCTAGATTTTTTTATTATCTCAACTTCTACATCTAAATAGAATTAATCTAAAGATATGTTGATAGGCTAGCCTTGTTTAAAGTTTCTTTCCAATCTTCAAGTAAGTGTTCAGATTGTTAAAAGTAAAATTCAAACTGCATTTATAAAGTGTCTTTACATTTAATATTTACTTTTATGCTCCAAATAAATATTTAATTACTCTGTCAGAAAAAAATTAATATACTTATAAAATATTGTATTTCCTACCTAGACATTTTGAACTGTAAAACCAACAGCAAATAACTTATGTGATGGTACTTTTTTCTTCTGAAAATTTTTGTATATAAGGTGCATTGAAGGGGCTGTGCAAAATTGTGTTCCTGAACTCTCAAGATAATAATTTAAAAACATAAGATGATTCCTTTAAATAATATATTTGGTAAGGAGTTATCTACATATGTGATTTTATGTTGGCCTTTTTGTCTCCTGCAGGTGTATGTAAATAGCTATGTAGAAGGGTGTGTGCACACACACGAGTGTATCTTATTTTGACAGAGCAGCTGTATTCCTTGCTGAAAGTTAACTTCACTGATACTTTATTGCAATGTTAAGACATCTTAAAAAGAGTGAGATTTTTCTTCTGGTGTGAATTGTTTTCCTTGCCTCTTTTAAGGTGGAAGGGTGGGCTAACAGTCCAACATCTGACTGTACTTTGATCTGACAGGAATATCTGATGCATTTGCACACGCTTTCACAGGTTTGTTTTTTTTTTTACAAGTTACCTGAAGCGTGCTCACATTGTTTGTGAAGCCTCCTGCTTCACTTTAATTCCAGTTGTTTCTCCATAACTTTTATTTTCTCTGACTGTAATTAATGTCAATATTCTTGTATGAGCTCAAAGTGAATGTTCATACCATCCTAAATGTTCAAAATTACTCTGTTGTGTCGATGTTTGCTGTGAATACCTGGAGAGCTTCTTCAACACTAGCTGTTAAATATCTTGCTTGCTGTATTCACAAACAGTTTGAGAAGTTCTTCAAAGTGCTTAGATTACTCTTAAGGAAAGGTCTTTGTATAAACACAGAGGCAATATTTTATGCTTTTTAGTATGCTGGGGAAAGATGCTGGATTCTTTTGCTGTAAGCTATTAGACATACACTCCTGGTTTATACTGTTACTATGAAAATTTGAATGGTGTAATACCCCAAGAAAATATTTTTTCCATGTCTGTGTGTCATTCTGTCATTTTATCTGTTGAGACATACAAATTGAGTGTAGGTTGTAAAAATTCCTGATAGGGTAAACACTTCTTGATCCAGGAATAAATCTCTTGGGGACATTTTGTTGGCATAATTAAATGAAATTTAATTTTACATCTAAATAAAATGGATATATTTATTCAATGAACACATTCATTTTATGCTAATATAAAATTTATGTATTTATTCAATAAATATATTAGCTTTCATTTTACATGTACCTGTGTCACTGAAAATTGTTAGTTGTTTATAATCCAGAGAAAATGTTAGTCCTTAATCTGTACACCCACTCCTCACCCTCTGTGTTTTGGTGGGGGACACACAGAGCTGAAACAGGTCCTGGCTCTCTGATGCTAGTTTCTGATCACACCATAGTTTCGAGCAGGGCCTGAGGAGAAGGGCTAAACTCTTAAATCTCATGGTATGCTTATCTGGAGAGATCTGCTGACTCCCTGATCGTTTGAACTGCTAGAGCCTCATATGGGACTTGGTGAATGTTGTGTCTCTGTCAGAAGGGAGGAAAGTCTGGGGTGTGAATGTTCATTTTGTTCTTTTGGGAGAATTGGTTCTTTTGGATCTCTGTAGGGTCAAATGATTTGTTAGTTTGTTCCCTTGTACGCATACTATATTAGTTTCCCTTTTCAGTGAAAACAGGTAGTTTCTATGATATTTTTTCTCCTTTCTGTATTTTCCTGAGGCATTGCAAACAAAGCTGTTCCTGCTTTGGCAGTTGCCAATGTCTGCTGTCCTGCAGTAGCGTCTTAACAGGTCCTGCACCTTCAAAAACTTCCTTGCTTGTGTTTTGCCAAACAACGTGTCTTGCTGTCATCAGGGCTGCAAAAAATGCTGATCTGTTGAGGTGTGGCACATGGATCTTCTGTGCAGACATAGTTTGCCTCTGAAATGAAGAGCTTTCTTGAAGTCACAATGTGTTTTAATAATTAGAGGTTTGGTAGAAAATAGCCCCCATAACATAGGAACAAACTGAATCTGGGAGGTATTTCTACCTGAAGAGTCTCAAGGGCTTTTATTGAAGGGGAAAAGAAAAAAAAAAAAGTCCTAGCCAAGCAGCTCCCCAAACTGAAAATGTTACCTAAATCCTTTGAGCAAAATGTACATTTTAAGATGACAACCTTCCCCAAAATGTGTAGTGGAAGAAATGCCTTTTAAGCAAAGGGTAAAATTGTAAGGGTGACTTGAAAAGGTTATTTTGAAAGGATTTAATTGTGACTGTCCTTTTTAAGGATAAAGATGGGCTTAACCCAGTATCTTGAGTGTAGCATCCTTGAGCCTTTTCAAGTATAATAAAGTAAAAATATGCATGTTGCTTCAGGCATCTGTCGTTAGAAGCCTAGTTCTGAGCACTGTGGCAGATTTAAAAGCTTCAGGCATTATGGTTTCATATTCTTAATCTGAATTTTGCAGCTTGGATCAGTGAAATGGGAGGGAACAGAATTTGATCAGTTACAAAAGAGGAAGCATTTTAAAATGGATACTGTGACCAAAGCCAAGTCTCTTAGGTTACTTCAAAGAATTTTTGTAAACTGAGACTCTAGATTGTGTAGTACAGTTTTGTAGTGTAAAAAGCAATTTCCTTCAACATCCAGCACGCTGACATTTAAAACAGGAACGTTTTAAACCAGCTTCTGAAAATTCTGAAATTTTCCTGGCAAACAGAAGTTGTGAGAAACACGATTGCCAGTCCTATGCCGGGACTTCATCTTGAATCTTCCTTTTGTTCTAGAATTAGCAAATAGGCCCAAAGTCCAAACAGTGTTTGTAACTTGAGCTGCAGTGTTCTCTACTAACTAGAATAGAATCATAGAATAGAATCATAGAATAGATTGGGTTGGAAAAGACCTCCAAGATCATCAAGTCCAACCCCTGATCCAACTCCAATTACTATATCATGGTACTAAGGGCCACATCCAATCTCTTTTTAAAAACCTCCAGGGATGGTGAATCCACCACCTCTCTGGGTAGGCCGTTCCAATGCCTGATTACCCTCTCTGTAAAGAATTTCTTCCTAACATCTAACCTAAACCTCCCCTGGCAGAGCTTGAGCCCATGTCCCCTTGTCCTGTTGTCGGTTGCCTGGGAGAAGAGACCAACCCCCACCTGGCTATAACCTCCCTTCAGGTAGT